CCCCCCAGTAAATCCATCCCTGTGTTCTTGAGTTGTTAAAACATTTCGGGTTCCAAATCTTCTTGATAGTTCATAATAAACTTTGCATAGAAGTTGTCAGGATAACAGGTGGTGCCAATATACATTTGCAGAGTTTTGAAAGCCTTTTTACACCATAATTGATACATAACATCAACATTTCTGCTGTTTATAATTGATCTATTTCATTTTAGAAAATGTCATAGTCAGGGTTCATGGCACACAAATCAACTGTTTATGCCTAATAAATATATCAATAGGTCATATATTGGAAGCCATTCATCAGCAACAAATGATGACAAGTATGAAAATTAGAAGTATAATCGATGCATATAGTTCTTGAATAGAATGATATAATTCAGCATACCAATCCATGCAATAATATTTTGTCGTGGAAGAAAATCCAATAAACGGAATATTATGTTAGTTTTGTATATTTTGTGCTATAAATAAGATCCCATTATGACATATGGTTGTTGGTGATTATAAGACAATATAGTATGGGATAGGTGAAGAGGGATATAAATTGCTTGCCTGGTGTTCTTGGCAATTAATGACATTCAGTTGCAGAAATCAGGGTGGGTGAAGAAGGGAGCACCCCCTCCAGGATATATAGTTATATGCTGCAAGTTGATAATTATGACTGGTTGCAACTGTTACTATAAGTATTTATATTCCAATCTAAAACTGAATCTCTGCTCTTTATGCAGCCACTGTTACTTTGCCTTTTCTTTAATGAAGCAATTATTCAATGCACATACTGCTATAAAGTGCTTTAAGAGGAATGTTTCCAATATGTGTGACTTAGCTTCTGACTCTGCTAAATTTGTATTAAAATGATCTATCAAACTCTGCTTATCTGTAATGAAAGCAGACACCAATTGTCTATAGTTATGATCTTTCATAAAGAAATTATGTAACCTTACGAAATTATATAGCCTTCTATTGGTTTCATTCAACTAATTTATATTAACTAAAGTCACCAATGAAAATGTTAAATTGAGAAGTACATAAACATCAACACTTACAACTCGATATACACCTACAACGGCAACATGTGGAAGAATCATTACTTTCATAGTTTCATAATAGTATTCTCAATGCCATTAGCCAATGATTTTCTTGTCAAAAATTGCGAATGAATCCGTTCGTTTCCACTGCGTGTTAAATGATGAAATCCTTCAAATGCTTGCCAGAAATGCACTATCGACATTTACCATATTCAGACTAGTAAAATGACGTTGTTTTAAACTGCGTTTGATGTATAATTTCAATCGTAAATTCACAAATTGCCTTTTGTTTCATCCTTTAGTAAACCGCCATTTTGAAATTTTATATCATTACGTCATTTCATCTATACGCTGTCGTTGATTGGCTATGAGCACGCTTACAAACTTCCGGTACGCGCACGATGGCAATATATCTGCTTCGCAGATACAAAAAGTCGGGCAAATTTCTTTCTGCCCCCTAATTTTTTTCTTCCCGTACACCTATGCCTTGTGTGTAGCTATAACTGCTCGCAATTGGTTCCGGTAAAATAGTACGCATTCAAAATATAGTAAATGTTATTTTGATATGCTTTGCGAACTATAATTACCGTAATGTTGCATACAAACAGGTGATATAATCATAGCCTCCCAACGCGCCCAACGGGCTCTGGATTTGGTTTCATGGACCGACATTATAATAACCATCAGGACCGAATGGAACGGATGAACAAGAATAATATATAATATGGATAATGTACTTTCTAAAAACAACACGGCAGAGTCCTACAATGAATTCTTTAACTTACTTTCAATAGCCTATGAAAAAACTTTCCATTAAAAAGAAAAGTAGTGAAAAGAAATATTGACAAAACCCGAAGCCCATGGATGACAAAATGTATTGCAAAATCAGTTATGCAAAAGAACAAGTTATATAAAAAATACCTTCAATGCCCTACAGAAAAAAAGGAAAAACATACAAACAATATAAAAATAAACTAAATCATATAATAAGAGCGGCAAAAAAGAAACATTACGAAGAACAGTTAATAAAATATAAACATGATACAAAGGTACTATGGAAAACATTAAATGAAATTATGAATCGAAATAAAACAAGTAGTATGTTACCAATGGAATTTATTGGAAATAGTCCTGGAGAAAAAATTACCGATCCAAAATCAATAGCAAATAGATTCAATGATTATTTTGTAAATATTGGCCCAGGACTTGCGAAAAAAACTTTCGAATAGCACAACAAATTTCGATAAATATCTCACTAATAGCTGTAAAGGAAGCTTCTTTATTAATCCAATAACTAAAGATGAATTAGAAAATGAGATAAATAATTTGAATTCCAAAAAAAGCCCTGGATATGATGGTATAAGCTCACAGGTAATCAAAGTGATTGCTCCAGAAATTTCTGAACCACTTTCACACATATTTAACTTGACTTTTCTTTCTGGAACTATTCCTGATGATCTAAAAATAGCTCTAGTTACCCCTATTTTCAAAGCAAACGAAAACAATGAATTTAAGAATTATCGGCCTATATCTGTTCTCACTTGTTTTTCTAAATTATTGGAAAAGCTTATGTATAAGAGGTTAATTAGCCACATAGAAAAAAATAAAATATTAACACAAAATCAATATGGTTTTAGGGAAAATAGATCTACTGAACTTGCAATCATTGAACGTGTTGACAAAATCACCCAAGCAATCGATAAAGGAGAATACACAATAGGTATCTTCCTCGACTTGTCAAAAGCCTTTGACACAATTAATCACAAGATTCTGATTCAAAAACTAGAACACTATGGTATACGCGGAATAACAAGACAGTGGTTTGAAGATTACTTAAAAAACAGAAAACAGATTGTTAAATATAACCAAGTTAAATCAAAAGCAATGATAACTAAAAGTGGTGTCCCACAGGGGTCAATTCTTGGACCAATTTTATTTCTTCTGTATATCAATGATATTGAAAATTGTAGCAAATTAATTTCATTTATATTATTTGCAGATGACACTAACATATTCTATAGTAACAAGTGTCTAAAAACACTTAATAAGATTATGCAAATTGAAATTGATAAAGTTGCTGAATGGTTAAATGCGAATAAGTTATCTCTAAATACTACAAAAACAAAAGTAATATTATTCCGATCTTCAAATAAAAAACCAAAGCAAGACATTAAAATTATCATTAATGGTAATAATATTGAACAAGTTAAAAATACAGTATTCCTTGGTATTGTCATTGACAAATGTTTGACCTGGAAAGATCATATAGCTAAGGTAGCAAACAAATTAATTAGAGCTGCTGGTATAATAGCTAAAATACGACATTTCGTGAACCGAAATACTGTAAAACTGATATACTATGCATTAGTCTATCCATACTTGATTTACGGCAACCTAACATGGGGTAATACTTACAAAAACAGAATTCAAAAAATAATGAATATACAAAAAAAAATAGTGCGTTTAATGGCATTCAAATCTTACTTTGATCACAGTGAACCAATTTTCAAAGATTTAAATATCCTCAACATCTTCAAAATCAACGACTATTTAACTGCTTTATTTATGTTTCGATACCACCATCTTAATAATTTACCAGAATTTTTTAAAGATTATTTTGTGACAAACAACCAAATTCATCAATATAACACGAGAAATGCATCAAAACTTCACAAATGTTATAAAAGAACAAATTATGTAGAACACACTCTCTCCAATA